AAATCCATGATGTCTCTGCTGTCACACCTGAAAGCTGCAAAAGCTGGGCTGGAGCGATGGCCCAGCGATGAAGAGCAAGGACTGATCTTGCAGAGGGCAGGAGTTTCAGTCCCCAGCACCCATATCAGGCAGCCCATGACTGCCTGTAACTCCAGCCCCAGGGAACTGGATGCCCTCTCTGGCCTCCTCAGGAACCAGCATGCATTCGAAGGACAACCCTCCCCCACATAAAAATAAAAAGCCACTGCAAAAGCTAAGGCCACAGTGTGTGGTAAGTGCTTAGTTTTGATGGAAAAGGCAGAGCAGGCGTTAGAGCTCAGTGAGAGAGTATTTGCTTAACATGCTGAAAGCTAAGTTCATCCCCAGCAACATAGACATACTTAAATGGTGTGTGTACCCACACATTAGTATAGTACAGTACAGTATAGTATAGTACAGTATAGTATAGTTCTTTTTTTCAGCTACCCATTGGCATTTTTGGAACATATTCCCTGTGGGACAAGAGGACACTTGTAATCCTCACAGTAACTGGCAGATTCTCACTGACTCACAAGATCATTTCTTACCCAGAATTCCACAAACCTGAGAGTGGGAAAGCAAAGCCCCTAAGTGAGCACAGCACCAAATATGACTGAAGCCGCCTTTGACAGGCTTGCTGAGGGAGCTGCAGGGCCCTTGATGCCACTTAGATCATGCTTGGCCAGTCTCCTGAGAGAGTTTATGTTTTTCACTAGGATGCCAGGACCCAAGGAAGCCCTTCTTCACAGGTCCTTGCTTCTGTTCTGGCATTCATTCATCTATTCATTGATTTAGTCTTCAAGTAGAGGGCCTTCTAAGGGCAAAACACTGCTATAGACTCAGAGACTCAACTTTGAGCTGAGCCTGGTGATGCAGGTCTGTCATCCCAGCTACTGAGGAGGCTGAAGCAAGAGGGTTTTGAGTTTGAGGCCACTCTGTGGCTGATGGTTGAGCATTTGACTGGCATGCCCAAGGCCCTGGGCTCAGTCCCAGTTCTGAAAGAGAAAAGGATAACTCCTCACTCTGACCCATGCCACCTGTCACCCCTGCTTTGACCCATGCCACCTGTCACCCTCACCCTCCTGCCCTAGTAACTGCCTAAGTGCTGCAGTCTGATCCCAAGAAATTCTAGGTAATTCTCGACAGTCAACCCGATGTGGGAAACATACAAATGGCAGCTAAGTCGCCCCTGTGCTGACCACTGACCTAAGTGGCCACACTGATGGTGGGACTGAGTCAGAGGGGCACTTGACACTCATACTCCCCAAGGTCAAGCTGCTCAAGGCTCAGAAAGGTACGGTCATCGGCCTTTGTAACACACCGGAGCCAAGACTGTCTTAACATCAAGCCTTGAGCGAGTCTTCATATCTCTGAGCCTCAGTTTCCCCATTAAAAAAACAGGGCCCGGAGCCTTCTGTGTCTACTTTCATAGCTGAGTGAGAGGCAAGGTGGAGGTCGAGTTTTGAAACCAGCACAGCCCTGTATGAAAGTAGAAAGAGGGAGAGGGTAGGGATGAGGACCTTTGTTAAGGATGGGAACATTCCCTGGAGTGGCTGAAGAGAAAAGTGTGAATACAGTATAGTTGGAAGCAGAGGAGCATTCAGCCATTACCTATTTTACCTATGTGGCAGGTTAGCATTTACAAGGCCATTGCAAATCCACAGCCCACTTCATGGGGGAAGGCAGGACATGGGGAATGTGATAAGATATTAGGTCCACCCCCTTCCCAGTGCTTACCAGTAAGTGGCAAGATCCTTTACCTCCCTGTGGTGGTGAATCCTTTCTTTTTTATTTAGTGTGTGTGTACACGCCTGTGTGTGCACCATAGCACATATGGAGGTCAGAGACCATCCTTCAAGAATCAGTCTCTCTTACTATGAGTTATGGGGATCGAACTCAAGTCCTCAGGCTTGCACTGCAAGCTCTTGTAACTGTTGAGCCAGCCCATGATGGTGAATCTTCACCCTCAACTTGACTGTCTCTTGACTGGATTTAGCTGATTCTAAATCCAGTCAAGTTGAGTCAGGCTCTTGTTGTGTAACCCAGGCTGGTCTCACACTTGCAGCAATCCTCCTGCCTCAGCCTTCTGACTGCTGGCCTTACATATATACACTGCTAGGCTTCTCTTTCTTTTACTTCTAACAGCCAAGCCCAAAGCGAGAGCTCACTGTCCCTCACAGTGAGACAGGTGTCCATGGTTTGTGGTGTCAGATGCCCTCCCTCTGAGAGGAGTAGAATTGCTGTCTTCCTGGGGTGGCCTGGCTGGTGGGTAACAGTGCAGATCTGAAGTCAGGCCAGGCTTCAGTTCCCATCCTGCACTGGTTCCTGACCCCCACAGTTGTTGAATATTCAACAGGCTCCATATCCAAAGACCTTTGTTCCTGGTTAATAACAGTTCTTTGTTGCTGCCTAGAGGAAGGAGTGGCCCAAGGCTGCACCCATGCCCTGCTGCCTTCTAGATTGAACCTAATAGCTGGAGGCAGCTCTGCCTGTCACTGGAGTGGCTCACATTCTCAGGGTGTGTTGGTATGAATGTGGCATGGCTTGCTCATGGAGATTGGCAGAGCCTGGACGCGTGCCTCTGTGTCATCCACAGTGAGACAGCTGCTGTCTTGTGTCTGAGCATGCCTGTCAGGGAGGGGCAGTGGTTAGGTAATCTGCACATTCCTGAGAGATCTGGAATGCTGGTCCCCTGTCCTCCCCAAGCCCTCCCACACTTCCTGTCACATTAAGGGGAGCACTGTGTGTCTGCCATCACTGAGACCTTGTAACCTGTGAGCATCAGTGAGGCTGTGACCATATCCTTGGTACCCAGGCTTGTCCTTATGGGGTACCCAGGTCTACCCTTAGGGTCTCACTGTGTGGCCCAGGATGGCTTCAAATTCAGGATTCTCCATCTCAGTCTCCCGAGTTAGAATGGTAGCATGAGTTACAGCATCCTACTCAGAGTGACCCGTTACAGTGTGGTCAGAACACAGTTCTAGCCCCGAGTCCTCAGTGACTCCTTGTTTGATCCCATCTGTGGGTCACGTAAGCCTGTAAGATCTCACTGGCTGTGGCCCAGCCACACAGGCGTCTTGTTTTTCCCACATCCTACATACGATGCCCACATGGATATTCTCTGTGGCCGGAAACAAAGGCAGGGGCTTGGTTCTTGTCAGTGGGTTCTACTGACAGGATAGCTTTTAAATGACATTTGTTTGTTTGTAGTGTGTGTGCATGAATGTGTATGTATGCACACACGTTGTGGTGCATGTTGAAGGTCAAAGGACAGCTCACAGGAGTTGGTTCTCTCCTCCTATCATGTGGGTTCCAGAAATCGAACTCAGATCCTTAGTGTCAGTGGCAAGTGCATTTACCCTATGAGCCATCTTGCTGACCCTGGCTGGTTCTTACATGACTGGCTCCCAACTGCCCAGAAATGGTTTCTGGGCTCTTTTATAACTTGGTGATGGCAGAATTTTTTTTTTTTTTTTGTGCCCTTTGGTTAAAGCAAGTCACAGCTCAGGCTTTGTGGGAAGGGGTATAGAAGGGCTGTATGATTCCACCATCTACCAACCAAATGGACCTCTAGGCTCCTGTTTATCTGTCCACCAGTGTTCCAGTCAGAAGTCTGCCTACTCCTCTACAAATGTGCCCCCCCCATGCATGGCTGCCCCAGGATCTTTGCACTTCCTGCTCCCTCTGCTCTTCCCCACATAGCTTCAAGTCTGTCCCTTCTTTTCACTGAGCTTCAGCTAAGGGAAAGAAAGAACTGGACCCTTAACCGGAAGTAGTGCCCTGCCCCTGTCTCACGTCTGTCCCTTACCCTTCAGCATCCTACCCCCACCGTCCCTTTGTGATTTCTTTACATTGTATTTAGCACTTCTTGTCCTAAGTTTATCACAGGCTTTATTTTCTGGTGGTTTTCTCGCCCACCTAAGAATCTGAGCTGCATAAGAGCAGGACAATTTCCTTGGTTCCCATGGTCTCCTTAACTCCAGAAAGGGCGTGTGGTAGGTCTATTTGTTGAAGTTAAGTAATTCCCCCCCGCCCCCGCTCCCACTCCTCAAACAGCACAAAAGGGACTAGGTCAGGATGTGAACATAAGCCATTTAGCACCCAACAGGAAGGATAGGTGTTAGGATGTGCACGGAGGTAACCCTTGGGCAGTCATGGGTCTTACACAGTATCGTCTCCCCCACGTACTGAGGACAGCACACGTTACTAGCTTCAGTCAGCAAATGGAGCGTGAATTTAGCCAGTGGCTACAGGTGTCCCACAACCTGTGTCTCCTGCAGACACATCTGTAGAAAGTGAGCTCCTCTCGACTGATTTCACTGTTCTGTGTATCCTAGCCGACTGCACACAGCCAGGGTGGGGAGATGGCTTAGTGGTTAAAGCGCTTGGAATCCCCAAGCGCTGCTGTACAGCCCACTCCAGTGCTCAAGAGGCAGAGATAGCCCATCTCTGGGAGCAAGCTGGTCAGCTAGAATATCTGGATGGGTGAGCTCTGGGTTCCAGTGAGAGACCCTGCCTCAGGATACAGTGTACAGTGTGGTCAAGGGAGCCCCCTGGCATTGTTCTCATCTACACGTGTGCATATGTGTGTGCTTGCACACATACATGCACTCACACGCAAGAGAGCACTCATGTACCTGCAAACAAAGCAGACTGACCCAGATTTGTAATTTGGGTTGGCACAGCTTTGTAATTCCAACTACACAGGAGACCGAGGCAGGGGGATTTTAAATTTAAAGCCATCCTGGGAAACTTATCAAAACCTTTTTAAATAACTAAAGGGCTGGCTATGTAGCTCAGTGGTGAAGCACTTGCCTAGCATGTGTGAGGTCCTGGATTCAATTCCCAGCACAGCAAGAGAGAAAAGAAAATCCAGCTACTCTGTCACCGGCCTGATGGGTGACAGTCTGCAAGGCTTGTTCATAGTCTGAGAGCCAATGGCTTCCAATTGGATTAAATTTTGCTTGCTTTCTTTCACTCAGAGAACCTGTCTCTAGGTTCCAACTGCTTCTCTCCGCCTGTGAACTTCCTTCAAGAGCTGCCAAGCTATCGGTCAGTGGCACGTAGGCGGACAAACATCCTCTCTCGGGACAAGCAGAGTGGCACCCTGCTGAAGCCGACAGACTCTTTCAGTTCCCAGCTGGATGGAGGAATCACAGAAAACCTCAACAGCCAATCCATCCGCAAGTATGCGCTGAACATCTCTGAGAAGCGGAGACTAAGGTTCGTTCAGTAGCCGCTGGGAAGTAGCCATGTTATGATCCGGGAGATGTGTGTGTGTGTGTGTGTGTGTGGTGTATGGTATGTTTGTCATGTGTGGAACCCAGAGTTCATTCTGTAGTGAGCATTCCTAAGCTGCTGTGACATATGACCTTCAAGACTTCGTTTACTTGCTTGAATACTCAAGTTCAGTGAGGGATAGTGTAGCCATCCAGTGAGCCAGACACACACATACACACATGCACATGCACACTCACACAAACACACACACACACAGGCACACCCATGCAGGGGACAGAAGTGGACATTCAGTTTCTTCGTTTGTCATTTCACCTTATTTTTGGGGTGGGGAGGCAGGCTCTCTCACTGAACCTGGAGTTTAGCAGTTGGCTCTTCTGGCTGGCCAGCACGTCCCCAGGATCTACTTATCTGCATCTCCCCAGCTCTGGGGTTACAGGCGGGCTCTAGGGATCCTATCAGGTTCCCAGGATGTACATCGCACACCGTGCCCACTGAGTTGTCACTCCAGGCCTCTTCTCTCTTTTTGTCAAGATGTCTCTCTTTGTGTAACCTAGGCAACCTTGAACTTCTCTGCCTCAGCCTCCCAAATGTTAGGATTATAAGCATGCACATTGTATCCGTTCATTATCTCTCTGTCCATCACCATCGTCATGTATTCATCCACTAGTGTGCATCACCCGTCCATCCTTCCATTTATCTACTTCCATCCGTCTGTCTAGACCCATGTTTGTATACATCCATCAGTTTATCTGTATCTATTCATTTATCCAACTGTGTATCCTATCCACCCATTTATCAATATCTGTATCTGTTCACCTGTCGGTCTAAACATGCTCCATGCCATGGGAAAGCAGTTCTCTTTTCATGAATATAGCAGTATATGTTTAATGTACATATTTTTATGAATATTACTTTTCAATTAGTGGTGGATGTTAAGAATGGATTAAGCATCAGTTACTGACCTTAAGACTGTGCAGAGCAAAGCAGAAACAGTCAGGGTAGGACTGTCATGAAATCAGCTGTCTATGCTCTGTGTTTCTGGGACAGAGGGCCACAGAAGCAAATACTATATATTCTCAAAGGGCTTGTGGCATCAGGCTAGGCGTGGTGGTACACACCTTTCATCCCAACACTTGGGAAACGGAGGCAGGTGAATGAATCTCTGTGACTTCAAAGCCAGTCTACATAGCAAGTTCCAGGCCAGTCAGAGCTATATAGTAAGAGACCGTTTCAAAAATCAACCAATCAATAAACCAACCGACCAACCAACCAATCAACCAACCGACCAACCAACCAGCCAACCAAACATTTGCAGCATATTGGGGAGACATATTAATTAGAGAAGGCATGTTATCAAAAGAAGGAGTGTCCTGGAGGTGAAATAGAATTTGATCAGCTGGTGGGGGAGGGAGTGTTCGGGGCAAGAAGTCAGGAAAGGTACTATAGGGGTCATTGCACTAAGCACACAGTACCCATTGGCAATGCTGTGCAGTCAGCACCATTAGCTACTTCCAGAAATGTTTTATCACCACAGCTAGAAACTGCATCCATTAGAAAACTACCCCATTCTTCCTCCCTTTAGCCCCAGGCAGCTGCTCACCTACTGTCTCTGGATTTACCAGTTCTAAACATTGTGTGAACGTGGCATGTGGCCTTCATGTTTGGCTCTTTTCACCACTTTGTATAATGCTTTCAAGGGTCACTCGCACTGAAACGTGTGTAAGATTTTCACGCGCAGCTTGGACAGATCACAGCAGACCAAATGGTTCCACGAGGGGAGGTTTATTCAGGAGAGAGGGAAGAGGAGAGGGAGAGCAGAGAGGTAGAGTAGTAGAGGCCGGCCATGACCACGTGGAGAGGGGGGAAGGGAATGGGAGAGGGAAGACGGCAACCAGCAGGCTCGGGGTCAAGGGGAACAAGAGAGAACCAGAGAGAGAGGAGGGGGCAGGCAGCCCCTTTTATAGTGGGCAGGGCTACCTGCCTGTTGCCAGGTAACTGTGGGGTGGAGCCTACTTGGCCGCTTCCAAGTAACTGTGGGGGTGGAATTTAACAGAATACTACCAGTGTGTGTCACTGCTGTATCCCTTTTTATGGCTGAATAGTATTCCAGAGTTATGACCGAGGGCTTCCATCAGGGTGCTGCAGAGCTTGGACTTGATACTGCTTTGTCGTTGTTATGCTCATGACCGGTGTTTGTTTGTTTGTTTGTTTGTTTTTGATGCAGGGACATCCAGGAAACCCAGATGAAGTATTTATCAGAGTGGGACCAGTGGAAACGGTATAGCAGCAAGTCCTGGAAGAGGTTCCTAGAGAAAGCGCGAGAGATGACGACCCACCTGGAACTGTGGCGCAAAGACATCCGCAGCATTGAAGGTAGAGCCCGTTTGCTCGTTTCCTCCCTACAGGCCAAGCAGCGCTGGGGTTTGTGCCCACCCACTCACAGCCTTCCCTCGGGCAGCTGAGGGGTGTATGGGGGGGTGGATTTGGATTACCTGCTTGGCCTGCAAGCAACTTGGGTGTGCACCTGCTGAGGATTTCCTTCCAGGATGAATGTTGTGTTAGTGACTGTTCTTGTTAAATACCTGACAGAAACAAACTAAGGAAGGAAGCTTTATTCTATCTCAGTTTCAGAATACAGTCTGCCTTGGGAGGGCAAGGGCATGGCAGCGGGTTTTGAGGCGGCTGGTCACACGTCATCTGTAGTCAGGACACTGAAGCGATGGATGCGGGTGCTCGGCTCCCTCTCTCCTTTTCATTCAGTCTGGCTCCCCAGCCCATGGGATGCTGCTCCCCACATTAAGGTGGGTCTTCCCCTCCCCCCTTAGTCAAACTTCCCAGTAAACTCCCTGACAGACATGTCCAGAGATGCCTCCTGGGTGAGTCTAGATCCAGTCAACCTGAGGGTTAAGACTGATGGTCTCAAGTATGAGCTTAACCCACTTATCCTTAATAGGGCCTGTGCCTTTGTCATCTCGAAAGGTGACACAGCAGAGCTGGGGACAGGCCCTGCCTCTTCCATTCCTTATTTTCTACAGTAAAACAAAACAATGTATAATCAGTGCCTGACAGCTGCTAAAGTAGTTTTCCTCAGCAAAGTCTGTGAGGAGCATGGCAGGATTCTGTTAGGAGGAACATCTTCCTTATTGCCTACTCTAAAACTACAGTGCCAAGCGTAGTGGGGATAACTTTAATCCAGGCAGGGGCAGCTGGAACTCTTGTGAGTTTCAGGTGAGCCAGAGCTAGCTATACATTGAAATCCTGTCCCTCCCTACACACATACACACACACACACACACACACACACACACACACACACACACACAAATAGTGGATGTCTTCTGGTTTGGCAGGGGAGGGTGGGCATAGCTCAGTTGGTAGGACTACAGAACTGCTCTTGAAGAGGACGTAAGTTCTGTTTCCAGCACCCACACTGTGGAGCTCATAACGACCTGTAACTCTGGCTCCAGGGACTCCAGCACCCTCTTCTGGCCTCCACAGGCATCTGCACATCCCACCTCACATACACATAATTAAAATAAACTCTTTGAATATACTATTGATAGTTTATTCTCCTTTGAAAATTGTGTTTTCTATGGAGACTGTAAATATATTTCCCAGACGTCTTCCAGGCTCATTTAGAAATTACACACCTCACAAACTCTCTCTCTCTCTCTCTCTCTCTCTCCTGAGATGGAAGCTTAACTGTGGTCTTTTTTTTTTTGGTTCTTTGAGACAGGGTTTCTCTGTGTAGCCCTGGCTGTCCTGGAACTCACTCTGTAGATCAGGCTGGCCTCGAACTCAGAAATCCGCCTGTCTCTGCCTCCCAAGTGCTGGGATTAAAGGCATGTGCCACCACCGCCCGGTTTAACTGTGGTCTTGAACAAAATACAAGCAAATCTTTACTGAGCATCAGCAGTGAACCGAGTGTCACCTTTGGCACCTGACTCTTGTTACCTGTCAGTTAGTCCTCCTTAGATATCCCTACCCTTTGTTTCTCTCTATGTATACCAAGCTGGCCTTGAACTTACAGGGACCTGCTAGTCCTCACAAGATCTCATCCCCACTCCTTTGCCTCTTTCTGTGTAGATTAGGCTGGTCTTGAACTCAGAGATCTGCCTACCAGTGCTAGTATTAGAAGTGTGTGCCACCACGTCCTGCCTCACAAAGCCCTTTCATGTGGACACTTCACCATTTCTCTGCCATATGGGGGTTAAGACGCTTGCCCAAGTGCACTCAGCTAGGATAAGGCAGGGCCAGGCTTTGAACTCAGGCAGTCAAGCTTCACAGGCCAAGTGTGTGTTGAATGTGAAAAGTACCCCCACAGACTCCTGTTTGAACCCTTGGTGGTGTCTAACTGGAGGAAATGGATCACTGCAGGGGGTGGGGGAGATTTCTTAGCCAAGTCCCACTTCCTGTCTCTCCTCTGCTTTCTTACCATGGACACAAGGTGACCAGCCCCCTCAACACTCCTGCTGCAGTGCCTTCTGCTCAGTGATGGACTGTGCCCCCTCAAGCCGTGAGCCCCCAAATACCTTCCTCCTTGAGTTGCCTATCAGGTACCAGACCTCAGTAACATGGAGAATGGTCAGTATGCTCCGCCCAGCCTCGTCTCTGGTTAGGTGGGACACTCCTGGAGACTTCTGACTGTCACATGCCTTAGAGGCTTTCTTCTCCCTGGAGAACTGGGGCTTTGCTGTTTCTCATTTGTTCTACTGGGATTTCTTGGCTGACTGGATGTCCCTGTGGCAGAAGGAGAAACGGTACAAATCAAAGCCGTTACTTCTGGTGACATGGCCAAGCATGACAGCATGGTGTTGGTGCCAGCACATGCGTTCTTGATTCCCAAGGAACAAGGACCTCACCCTGCAGACCATCCTCAGGGATTCAGTCCTTTTCTGCTAAGAGGGTGCTCTTCTGTTCCAGTTCCTGTCCCTAAAGTCACCACAATTGTCCTGAGAGGGACAGAGAAGACACTGAGAGCCCTTGTCCTCATTCTTAGCAAGTCTGAGCTAAACAGAGCTTCTGCCTTTTAAAATGTATGAAAACCCTACAGCAAGTGTCCTAGTAAGTTAGATGAGACACTGTGGAGCCTGAGACGGAGAATGGGGAAGTGTGCTTCCACAGTCTCTTCAGCATTACCATGGACATCTTAGCTAAATACACCTCAGAGATGAGGGAGAAAGGGAAAGAATGATATAATATCATTTGTCCAGATTATATATACATAGGGAATACAAAGACAAGTTATTAGAATTAGTGTGTGAATTTAACAAGGTTAGTTGTTGATTTGACCAGGTCTGTATAATATTGGTTATATCCTCCTACCTTTAGGGGGTGCTGGGAATCGAACCCAGGGCTTCACACTTGCTAAGTAAGTGCTCCACCTCTGAACTACAGTCCCAGATGTAAGTGTATTTCTTCGTGTTAGTAACCTTTAGAAAAGTAAGGTTTTTAAAAATATTAAAAAATTTTAATTACGTGTGTGTAGGGTGTGTGTACATAAGTGCCTGAGGAGGAAGTTGGATACCGTGGAGCTACAGTGACAGGCGGTTGTCCTGAATAATGTGGGTCGGTTCACCTCAGCCCACCATGTGTGGCTAGTCACTGACAGCCATGTTGCTTCTTTCCAGGGAAGTTTGGCACGGGGATCCAGTCCTACTTCTCGTTCCTGCGGTTCCTGGTGGTGCTGAACCTGGTGATATTCCTGATCATCTTCATGTTGGTTTTGCTCCCAATCATACTCACCAAGTACAAGATCACCAACAGCACCTTCGTGCTCATTCCGTTCAAAGACATGGGTGAGTCGAAGGGCTGTCCCAGCTAGCTGCAAGCTTCCTTTCCTGTGCGTCTTGGTTCTAAGCCTTAGACGACTGTCAGTAGGGATGGGTCTGGGTATGCTGCGGCAACAGATGATCCCATTATCCTCAGTGACAGTGTCTGTAAACACTGACTTCTCATTCATAGTCCAGATCCATCGTGGACTCAGGAGCCCGAGCTGTTGGGACAGCCATGATTGTCACTATGATGCAGTGGAAATGAGCCACAGCAAAAGTGTGCTGACTCCTGATGCTACTGTTTGCAGATGACACACACACAGTTCTTCCACATCTCATTGGCCAAACCAGGACACCCAGTCCCTCCTGGGTTCATGAGAGCTTGTGGGAGGAGCAGTGCAGGGTGGGGTATTTAGCAAACCTGAAAGAATCTACCCCTAGTCTAACATGGCATCATTTCAAGATTGTTATCTATGAAAAGAACGTGCTTGAGGGTGATAGCAATTCCACAGTGATCTTGTGGCAGCTGCTACAGTAGGTCTGGACTAGGCTTTTGTATTCTCAACAAAACTCAGATCTCCTGGGGATCCTATTAGCACAGATGGGGAGGGTTTCCTCTACTTCACAGACATTCACTGCAAACCTGCGATCCCAGGATCAGTGGAGGAGCCATTTTGGTCCCAGATCTTCTGAACGTCTTTGGAAACCCCCATGACCTCCTGTCACAAGACTCCTTACCCAGAAGAGCCCTGGAGAGCCACTTCTTATGCATGCCAGCTTCTCTTTGTTTCTATCTTAAGTCACTTAAAATTTAGATAGCCTGGCACTCCAGACTTCATTCCAGACCTTATTGTTGCCTCAAATGCTCTCCTGTTTTTTCATGTATCCGTCTCTTAGAGACATATTTCCTGCTACTGTGTGAAAATTAACATTAGGTTTCCAGGCCAGATGTTCTGGTCAGTTATCCTTCCTGGGCCTCAGTTTCTTTCTGTATTGAGCTGGGGTGACCATTTAAATGATAAGATGTTTATTCCTCCATTAAAATACTCTATCGAATACTTAGCTCCTTTAAAGAACAATAAATTTGGAGCTGCTGAGAGGGCTCAGATTTGGTTCCAGCTCCGTAGTGGGCAGCTCACAATTGCCTGTAACTCTAGCTGCAGGGATATGATGACCCATTCTGGCCTCGGTGGGCACTTGCATGCATGTGCCCTCCCATACATATAACTAAAAATAAGACAAATACTATAATATTAAAAACTGCGCTGGGAGGTACATACCTTATAATCCTGTTTAGGATGCTGAGCTAGGAAGATACTGAGTTGGGGGCTCGTCTGGGCTAGATAGTAAGACCTTGTCTCCAAAAACTGAAACAAGGGGATAGAGCTAGCTCAGCAGCTAAGAGCATGTACTGCTTTTACAGGGGATCCAGGTGTGGTTCAGAGCATCCATATCAGGTAGCCCACAACTGCCTATAACTTCAGTTCCCGGGGATCCGATACCCTCTGTGGGCACCTGCATGAACATGTTACACACACACACTTAAATAAATAAAAAAATCAATCAATCAATCAATTAATTGATGGAAAAAAAAAACACTGGCTAAATGCACAAAAATAGAGATAGCTCTAAGCTATTTAGTGAAGGAGCGTGCTAAAGGAGAGTGGGAAGTAAAAAGGAAGTGCTAATAACGGGAGAGGAAGGGGGGTGTATCAGACGCAGGAAATGACAGACAGAGCATGGACAAGCAGGCGTGTCTGAGTATATAGCCACGGCCTATGCTCACACACTGCAGCAGGTGAGTTGCTGACATGCTGGACCTGTAACACGCACCCTTGTCTTTGTTCTCTGCAGACATCCAGTGCACACTGTAACACACACCCTTGTCTTTGTTCTCTGCAGACGTTCAGTGCACACTGTAACATGCACCCTTGTCTTTGTTCTCTGCAGACATTCAGTGCACACTGTATCCAATAAGCAGCTCTGGGCTCATCTACTTCTACAGTTACGTCATAGACCTGCTGTCGGGCACGGTGAGTGTTAACTCAACCCTTTGTCGGGCACGGTAAGTGTTAACTCAACCCTTTGTGGACCTGTACGCTGACAGCCCTGTGATTTAGACTTCGGAGTCCTGAATGGGGCTCTGGAGTGCTGGTGGAGAGACAGAAGGATTGTTAGGCCAGCCTAGGCTACATAGTGAGACCTTGTCTCAAAACAACAACAAACCCCAGAAGACATTGTCCTGTTTCAGTGAGCAGTGAGAGCCAGTGTCAGCGTTGACAGTGAGCAGAGGAAATGGACTGCAGTGAGTTCTTCAGCAAGCCCTGGGCTCGCCTGGACCTCCCACTAGGGTTCAGGAAATACCCCTTGCTGCCTTTCCTGGTCTCTGCTACCTTTGTATTGGCCTGGATTATAATGTCTTGCAGTTGACATCTCTGCTCTAAAACCCCAAAGCCAGATTGGGACACATTTGGGATTGTCTGATGGATATTTAGCTGGTGAACTCTATGGGGGAAATCTCAATTCTGAAAAGGGCTGAAATCTCAGATGCTTCTGGTTCCAGGCATTTCAGATAGAATGCATTCAGCTTAGAGATTAAACCATCTTTCTGGAAGCTGCTAGTATTAAAATGCCACTTCGCAGAACATGCTGCTTTTCTGAATAGACAGGAAAAAAGCCTGGAATTTGTCCATTGCACTTAATACTGTGGGGAGGCGGGAGGTGCTTTTACATCTCCAAAGTCAATGTTTCCTTCAAAACAACTTGGGTGCTGGATGTACAGACAAATGCCAGATACATGCTTGGGAAAATGAGAACAAATCAGCAGGTTGCCCAAAGTCATTGTTACCGAAAGCTAAACTTGACTTATCATAATGGTACATGCCTTTGGTCCTAGCACAAGAGGCAGAGGCAGGTGGATTTCTATGAGTTCTAGGCCAGCTTGGTCTACAGTCAGGCATACATAGTGACACCCTGTCTCATTAAAAAACAAAATAAAACAAAACTGTGGAACCAAGCCTCAGAGCTGCTGTCTTTTCTATTCCTCTCCTCTCCCTTCTCCTCCTCCTCCTCCTCCTCTTCCTCGCTCCTCCGTCTCCTCCTTCTCTTTGGTTTCTCAAGACAGGAACTCACTAAGTAGCCCCATTTCTTTTGTTGCATTCCCCAAAGCAACATGTGTTAGAGTGTTTTGCAGGACAGTTAGTGGCACATGATCATAATAGATGTGTAACTTAGGAAGCAGGCTCCAGCAACCCTGTCCAAAAGAACTTTCTCTAGTGTTCTGGAGAGTAGCTTGAGTCTGTTGGGCCCAGGAGAGAGCCACTGGCTCTTGAGCTCTTGAGATGTGGCCTCTGTGACCAAGGAATGGGCTTTATTTCATGCCGTTGCTGTCACATTGCACTGAAATAGGCCCAGCAGGAAGAAAGAGGGCCAGAGGTAAGAGGACAAGACTGGCTTCTGAAAACAGGCTCCTTTTGAAGTCAGGGAACTTACTTTTTAGGCTCTCTTGCCCTTTGACCCTGTTTCTTAGTTAGGGTTTTACTGCTGTGAAGAGACACCATGACCACAGCAACTCTTATAAAAACAACATTTCATTGGGGCTGGCTTACAGTTTCAGAGGATTAGTCCATTATCCTGGTGGGAAGCATGGTGGCATGCAGGTGGACGTGGTGTTAGAGAGGGAGCTGAGATCTCTACATCTGGATCCACAGGCAGCAGGAAGAGGAGGGCGAGGAAGGAGAGAGAGACTGGGATTGGTTTCACCATCTGAAACCTCAAAGCTCACACCCCCAGTGACATACTTCCTCCAACAAGGCCACACCTCCCACTAGTTCCACTCCTTATGGGTCTGTGGGGGGGCATTTTCATTCAAACCAACATACTCTGTGGTGGCCTTTTATTGTGAGGAAAAGGTTGCTGAGAGCTGAGATAACCTGGGGCTATGTGGAAAAGGATCTGGAGAGAGAACAGGGTTTTATGATGTCTGTGTCCAGCCTTTGAGAGAGTGGAGGATAGTATAATGTCTTCTCTTTCTACATTTGCTTCTGTTTAAACATTTTCTTACTCTGGTAGTGTGAGAATACATGGTTGTCATGAAAAAAAAATAGGACTTTGTCGTCTATTTGTTTACTTTTAAACAGAGTCTTGCAGTTTGGCTCAGACTGATCTTAAACTTCTCAGCACTTTCGTGTGTTTGTCTCTAAGGCTTAGATCCTTGATCCACTTTAAGCTGATGTTTATATGATTTGGTTCTCAGTATCTATTGTTTGTTCAGAAGACATGTTTTCCCCTCCACTAAAAACCTGCCGGCTAGATATACAGAGGTGCTTTGTTCTGTTTTTCTGCTATGTGTATCTGGTTTTGTTGTTATTTTGTTTTAGGCAGGGTCTCACTGTGTAGACAAGGCTGGCCCTGAACTCACAGAAATCTACCTGCCTCTTTCCTGAGTGCTGGGATTAAAGATGTGGCCACTATGCCTGGCTTCTGGGCCTGTTTTATGCCTGCACTGGATGATCTTGAGTTTGCTTTGCAGTAAGCCCTGGAGACGAGACTTCCAACTTCACTCCTCTTTCTCAAGGTTGCTTTGGCCCCTGACTCCCTTGCAGTTGCATCTAAACTCTTAAGACTAGCCTGTCATTTCAGATGAGGTCAGCTGGGGTTCAGATTGGGATTGCACTGGTTCTGTAGACCCATTTGTGGAGTGTCAATGTGTAAGTGCTGGACCAAAAACACAGGATGCCTCTCCATTTAATTCTTTTATTGGTTCCTTTATTTGTTTTGTTATTTTGAGATAATGTCTCATGTAGCCCAGGCTAGCATCAACTAGTTATGTGTCTTGAAGGATGATTTTGGCCTTCTGATCCATCTCCTTCTACCTCCAGAGTGCTATGATTGCAAGCATGTGTCCCCATCCTTGGTTTAATGCTGGGGTCAAATTTATGACATTGTGCATACTAGGCCAACACTCTATCCACTCAACTACAGCCCCAGTTTATTCAACTGCGTTCCATTGTTTTTAGAATATACTATTTATACTTGTGTTAAACCTATTCTTAACTATTCTTTTTGATGTTATGGCCTAGATTTTTTTCACTTTAAGTTAAGTATGATTTACCAGCTAACTTTTTAAAAAAACACATTTAATTTTTGTTATGTGTATATGGATGTGTCTATGTTAGATTATGTGCACATGAAGCAGTTCCCTTGAAGGCCAGAAGAGGGCATCAGGTCTCCCGGAGCTGGAGTTACAGAAGGTTGGGAACCTTCTGCTGTGGGTGCTGGAAACCTAACTTGGGTCCTCTGCAAGAGCGTACATCTCTCCAGCACTTACCAGTTATTTTTGATGCTCAGTGTCGCGAGCAGGGTCTCTTATCTATTACGAGCAAGGGGTTTGAATCCCCCGTGGGGAGAGGAGCGACAGGTCCTGCTCCACTCAGGGATCGTATACTGGATTTGACTGTGAGATCATCAGCTCCTCGAGAGGGAAGAGAGTACACCAAGATACAGAGAGTTTGTGGAATTCAGTTACTTCTTTAATGATAATGCATAGCAAGCAAACACAAATGCTAAGGTTATTGCTACAACAAGATATTGTCACATTTCCTATAGGTTGCCTCTAACAATATGCATAATTAACACACATAATAAGTTGCTAATTACCAAAGAAATAAGCATAGCAATAGACAAATCATTCATTCATGGATTATACGACCTGAGTCCTTATGTTGGTTTTGGGTTACAGGTCCGGAGTCCGGTAAGGTGGGGTCAGGCTGTGGCTTCCAGATAACTTGACCTTGTAGGGTGCTTGACCACGAAGAAGCTGGAGGCATTGGTCTGTAGGTTTGAAGTCCCTTGGCCATGAAGCTGGAGGCATAGGTCTCTCAGTTAACTCTTTGATGACCTGGTGCTGAGGAGGCTTTGTCTGGAGGATCACATTGGCCAGTCATGGCTACAAGTGTGATGAAGTGCTTCAGACAGGCTCCTCTTTTATGCTGAATTTGGAGTTACTGATGACGTACATGGCAGATAACCACTCGTGTCTGGTTATCTCAGCACAGCTTCATTTCCAGACTTGCCTTTACAAGTACCAGACATGTCCAGACATGTCTTACAAGTTTCCTATTACAAAATGGAGTTGGTCCTGTTTAAGGGACTGCTCCTTACACTCAGGTTTTAGCAGTACCTCATCCCCAGATACCAACTGAGCATCCCATATTCCTTGGGCCTCTTTCTGGTGTGGAAGATTCCAGGATGAACAAGGACACTTCTGTGTGCTTTCCTTGGGTCAGGAATACCGCCTTTGGTTGCCTGCCTGAGCTGACCCACCTGACCTCATGTTCTTGCTTTGCTCAGGGATTCTTGGAGGAGACCAGCCTTTTTTATGGACACTATACCATCGATGGTGTAAAATTTCAGAACTTCACATATGATCTGCCCTTGGCTTACTTGGTAAGCACGATCGCCTACCTGGCCCTGAGCCTCCTTTGGATAGTGAAACGGTAAGTGTACCTTTGGTTCCATTTGTGTAGTGATGTTCTTGCTGCTGTGACCAGATACCTGATGCAGATAGTTCAAGGGAGGAAAGATGTAAATGTTAGTTTTTTGTTTTGTTTTGTTTTTCGGTTTTCCGAGACAGGGTTTCTCTGTATAGCCCTGGCTGTCCTGAAACTCACTCTGTAGACCAGGCTGGCCTCGAACTCAGAAATCTGCCTGCCTCTGCCTCCCAAGTGCTGGGATTAAAGGCGTGCGCCACCACCGCCCGGCGTAAATGTTAGTTTTAATGTAAATGTTTGTAGTAAATTAATATAGTGGCTGATGTTCTTGAACCCTAGGTAGTTCTTCAGTAATGACACAGAGAGACCAAGATTTATTTTCAAGCTTCACCTCAATACCTGGACAATCAATTGATCCATCTTAATCCCCTGAGCTAATCTCCTCCCAGCCGAAATCTCTATAATGTGTGCATGTAGGGCCTGCCATGCTCCCGCTGGGCTCTCATGAACTCCTTCCGTCCCTTGTCATGGCTCAATCTCACAATCTCAGTCCTTCCTCCCTCCCTCTCTCTCTCTCTCCTTCTCTCCCTCTCTCCCCCTCTCCCTCTCCCTCCCCCCTTCTCTTCCTCTCTCTCTCTCCTTCCCTGGCTGGCAGAAGCTCCTCTCTATTCTCTGTTTTGCACTGCCATTGGCTGGTCATCTTTTATTGACAAACCAAGAATAAACAGTAAGCATTGTTCACACACACCCGAGACAGGGGGTTTTAACATAAGCATTACAATGCCGTGTCCAGCTTGAAACAAGATATCAGGGCAGAGAAATCATCATTTGAGTGAACACAAGGATGCTCTTTACACAGTGCGCAGAAACATGCTTACAGAAAGATTTATTTGCGCTTATGGTTGCAGGGAATTTCAGTCCCTCACAGTGGGGAAAACGCAACTGTAAGAATGTGAGACAGAGGCTTGTCCATATGGTGGTGGGTCAGAAAGCAGAGAACACTCTATAACCAGGAGGCTAGCCCTAGGACCTGCCTCTGCAAGCCAGTTCCACATCCTACAGGCTCCATAACCTCTCACCCGCATGAGCTCTGGGGGCATCTCAGATTCTGGAAGTCAGGGCCTGAATGTTGAGCAGAGCACAGCTGGGCTTTGAGGGAAGGGATTGAGTGTGCTGTAGCCAAGAATTGGAGGAAGTAGGAGTCAGGAGCTAACATCTGGAGCAGCAGCCTGCAGTTCAGTGTGCTAAGTGCCTCTTCCAGATCCCTCTTCCTGACAGGCTTTATCTTGGCTGGGGAATGTTTTATTAACTAGGTCTCTATTGGCTTGCAAATGGCAGAAAACCAATTCTGGTTAATTGGATCATTGGGGAATTGAGTGCACAGAGCACAGAGGAAGAGGGAGAGACTGCTCTGAGAAGGACACAGCCATAGCTTAGGAACAGTATCAAAAAGCAAGGATTTCCTCTGGTGAATGTTTGTGTGATGGCAGAGACCTGGTAGTGGTGGGAAATAACACGTCATTCTCTATCAGCCTGCAGCTGAGTCTGTGCTCAGGTCACAGGCACAGAAATCTATGAAGGTGTTGTTGGCTCTGTCCACTCAGAGACCTAATCCTGACCCTTCCGTTGTGGTCAGGGCCAGGAGATGGTGTTGAGGACCTATTAGTGTGTGTTCAGCCCTTGGTAGGGGTCATGGAGGTTGGATGTGAAATTCCCTGTAAAGGCTCAGGTGTTGCAGATTGGCCCTCAGGTGGTGGTGCTGTTTAGAGTAAATGTGTCAGGAGGTGCTAATCTCATAGATGGCGTTCACAGATAAATGGGCTTTTAGGAGCTGGGCCTGGTTGGAGGAAGCAGGTAAAATACTTTGTCTGTATCCCTTTCCTCTTTCTGCTTCCTGGACACCATGTGGTACTTCCGTCTCTCCCTCCCTTCCTCTGTCCCCTTCTTCTCTCCCTCTTTCCCCTCCCTCTCCCCCTCCCTCTGTCCCTTCTTCTTCCACACCCAATTGCCATAATGCCCTCCCATCACTTTAGGCCCGAAATGGAACCAGCCAACCATGGATAGAAATTTCTGGAATACTGAAACAAATATACCTTTCCTGCTTTAAGGCTTTGATATCTCAGGTATCTCGGGTATTTGCCAAACTTGTGAAAAGTTTGTCAGGTCATAGACCATTAAGGCCTGTCCCTGGTGGCCTGTGACAGAGCAACTCCCAAGAGAGCAATCTCCAAAAGGGATTCTAAATACTGTTCATAATTGTCTCTTTAAACAATAGCCAGATCACAATAGAAGCTGTATTTGTGAGTACCACAAGAGATTACTGAATTAAAACTTTGGGCCATGCACCATACATGCTAATACACACCTGTTAACTATTCAAGAGGCTGTGGCAGGGGGATCACAAGTTTAAAAGCCAACTGGGACACCTCAACAAATGTTTCAAAATAAAATTTTGTAAGGGGAGAGGAGCTGGTAGTCTATCTCAAAGATTGACCTGGCCTGGGAGAAGCTTTGGGTTCAATTTTCAACATTGTAGCAAAAAATAAAATACATAAGGTAAAATAAATAAATATAAAGAAATTATTTTTGAAAAAAGAAGCTAATGAGTGGCGATGCTAAAGAGATGGCTCAGTGGTAACTGTGCACTGCTGCTCTTCCAGAGGACTGGGGTTGGTTTGATTCTCAGCATCCACATAGTGGGTCACAAACATCTACAACTCTAATTCTAGGGGATCTGATGCCCTCTTCTGGCCTCCACAGGTACTGGGTGTTCACATAGTACACAAGGCAAACATGTAGGCAAAATGCCCATACACATAAAAGAATTATATCTTTTAAAAAAGAAGTCATTAAATGGATAAAAGACAATGATTTTCATCAGTGAGATACCTGCTCAGCTGCCATATGGATTCAGAACAAACTTGTCTGTGTCACAATGGGCCAGCAATACACTTACGTCCTACTTGGTAGATCCTAAATGAGACCGATTCAGCAGCCTATATTTTGCTTCTGTTCTCACAATGATGCTTTTATTTCGGGGTCAGGTCGGTGGAAGGGTTCAAGATCAACCTGATTCGGAGCGAGGAGCACTTTCAGAGTTACTGTAACAAGATCTTCGCTGGATGGGACTTCTGCATCACCAACCGCAGCATGGCCGAGCTGAAGCACAGCAGCTTGCGGTATGAGCTCAGAGTGAGTGCTGCATTGCCTTAGGGAGGGACCTTACTGGCCAGGTTGGATCTGGGGATGCTGTTTGCAGGTTTCATGGTATTGCAGGGCCCACCCAGTCTGTCTCAGCATGCTTCGCCATTGCAGTTTTTAAGAGCTCTTTATAGCAAAAAGCTTATTGGACTGATCACCTTTAACCCAAGCATGGGTGCTAGTAAGTTGGGACTGAGAAAGGAGGTGGGACACACATGGGGCCAGAGCAGATGATTTCTTACCTCCACCTACTATCTTACTAATATCCTACTTGGTCATAGCTGCTGTAAACATTGTCTGTACTAGAAACATGAAGAGAATGCTATAATAATAATGGATTAGAAAGAAATTGAAAAATAACAGGGAAACTTTCACATTAATAGAGAAAGAGAATGAATAGCATGTTGGTCAAGCCCATCAGAAAAGGGTTGGGGGTGAGAATATAAAGCTTAATGAAAGAAGGTGGGTGGGGTTGTATCTATTATTAACATTACACTAAATATGAATGGATCAAATTCTCCTGTTAAAAGCAGAGACTTTCAGGCTAGATTAAAAACAAAGAAACGTAGTAGGACACACCCATAATCCTAGCTTCTTGAAAGGTGGAGGCATAAGAGCTAAAATCTGAGGCTGTTCTGAGCAACTTAATAAGGCTATCTCAAAAACAAAAACTTTTGTTAAGGGTTGGAGATGTAGGTAGATGGTAGAATCCTGGCTTGGCATACACAAGGCCCTGGGTCTAATCCTCAAAACTTCAGATAAATAAATGAGAAATTAATAAACAAAATTGAAACAATAATGGTAACAACTTATATCCTATAGAAAGAAATACTGCACAGTCTGCATATGTACATGTACACACACCATTATAAATGCTGATTTAGCTTACACATTTATTACAAAGCCAAATGCAATCCTGAGTAGGAGATTCTATCTTACCAAAGCCAATGGTTCTCAATCTGTGGGTAGTGACCTCTTTGGGGGTTAAATGACCCTTTCACAGGGGTCACCTAAGAACCAGAAAACACAGATATTTACATTACAATTCATAACAGTAGCAAAATTACAGTTACAAAGTAACAATGACAATAATTTATGGTTGGGGGTTATCACAACATGAGGAACTGTGTTAAAGTGTCGCAGCATTGGGAAGGTTGAGAATCACTGCCATAAGCCTTAGCTATCAAAACTGGTGGGGCTTAGCCTGGGAAGGTATCTTGGGCAACATATTTAAGAGAAATATGAAGAGTTATTTTCCAAATTCCCCTCCCACTGCTCACAAATGAGTTTTCTTTGATCCTCAGGCAGATCTGGAAGAAGAGAGAATACGACAGAAAATAGCAGAAAGGACCTCAGAGGAAACCATCCGCATTTACTCTTTGAGGCTGTTTTTGAACTGCATTGTGCTGGCTGTGCTAGCAGCATGCTTTTATGCAATCTACCTAGCAACTACCTTCTCCCAAGAACACATGAAAAAAGTAAGTGTAACACGAGAGTCAGTGATCTCTCACTCTGGTGGATGTATGCAAGGTGCCTTGCAGGTCTGCGTGGAAGGTGCGACCATCATTTCTCTGTTCAGGTGGGGAGAGAAGTTTGATTGATACAGGGACTGAAAATCGGGTGATCAGTTTCCACTTTGAAGTCATCAAAAATACTGTTTGGGGATACCTCTTCCATGGTATTTAGATCTAAGCCAGGCTGCCTAGGATTTATCTCTGAGTCTTCTAGATAATAGCCAGGGCCTCAGTTTATCTAAAGAATCAGTGTTTTAAAATATTTTTATCTTAAATTTCAGGATATTTATAAGAGGCGGGGTTTGTGCACATGGCTGCATGTGCCTAGGGAGATCAGAAAGTGGTGTTAGAGCCCCTGAAGTTAGAGATTCAGGTGGCTATGGATGCTTGAAACTGAATCCAGGCACACTGCAAGAGCAGCACACACTCTTAACTCCTGTGCCCTCTCTCCAGCCTCAAACAGTGATTTTAAAAATCCATGTTGGAAAGAGTGTGGTTGTGCTTACCTGTAATTCCAGCACTTAGGAGACTCAGTCAGAACTCCATAGTGAGTCTTTTTTTAGATATATAATAAAAAAATCTAAGTTGGGTGGTGGTGGCTCATGCCTTTAATCCCAGCACTTGGGAGGCAGATCTGTGAGTTTGAGGCCAACCTGGTCTTCAGAGTGAGTTCCAGGAGATCCAGGGGGTACACAGAGAAATCCTGTCTCGAAAACCACCACCACCAACAACAAAGCCAGTCTAAATTGGTCTAGTGGCTATAAATGATTAGGCATTAGATACCTGTATACCACAGATACCATTCAGCTTGTGGCTTTGGCATCCATTCATAGGCTGTAGCTGTTTTCTGTATGGTGCAAGCTGGTTCACCTCTGCGTCCCCATTCTAGCCAAAGGGAAAGTGGTGGGGCTGGGACAGACTCATTTCTTCAAGGATGAGATGCGGAGTTTGATTTTAAACTCCTGCTCTACAGCCTCAGCTAGGATTTAGTTACAGTTGTGCCTGGCTTCCAGGAAGGCTAAGAAACTTGCCTTTCAAGCTATATATATATGGCTAAGTGACCTACTGTAAAGAAAGGCAAGAATGGCCATTACAAATCAGTACCTTGCATTGGCCACTTACACCGCACACACAGAAATTCCTTCACAAAATATGTCCAGAGTATTCATGAGTCTTCCATCATGGCACTAGGTCTCTGTGTATGTGCCTCTAAGGGAGGGTCTAAGCATCTAAAGCTTGTGTTTCCCAGCCACACTGGAGGATAAATATGCTTTGTCTGTTCACTCAGCATGCATAGTTGAGTTCTCTTCAGCGTCGCCGTCCCACGTATGCTGACCAGTGCATTGTGTTACCTCTCCAGGAAATTGACAAGATGGTTTTTGGGGAGAACCTGCTGATATTGTACCTCCCATCCATTGTGATTACATTGGCCAATTTCATCACCCCAATCATCTTTGCCAAGATCATCCACTACGAAGATTACTCACCAGGCTTTGAGATCCGCCTGACGATTCTTAGGTAATGCCTACCTGCACGCATGCCAGGTAGAGCATTGCTTGCTCATGGCAGACATTGCTAATAGATTGCAGCGTATTTTCCTGCTACACTGACAATCATTCTTCCCTTGATGAGCCCCATGAATAAATTAATGTTTGGCTATGCAGCGAAGGGCCTTAGACTTGAGAGTCTCCTGTCAGTATTGTACCTTTGATTCTGTATTAACTGAACATATAGGATGAGGCCTTAGAAGGACATACTGTTCTAAGATGGCAGAATTAACAGTATTAGGCAGAGTTCAGAGTTCACACCAGTGAGTAAGAATGACTAAGTACTTTTGCGTGAATAGGATAATTTTTTTCCTACTTCTCAAATATGTGAAATTGAGTTTATCCTTCACCTTTGAGACTGTTTTAGTTGGGGTTTCTATTGCTGCAGTGAAATGCCAACTTGGGGAGAAAAGGCTTTATTTGGCTTACACTCTGATGATAGATTACACTGCCTTATCACTGTTCATCGATGAAGGAAGTCAGGACAGGAACCAGTCAGAACAGAAACCTAGAGGCAGGAGCTGGTACATGGGCCATGGAGGGCTGCTGCTTACTGGCTTGCGCCCCATGGCTTGCTCAACCTGATTTCTTACAGAACACAGGACCACCAGCTCAGGGGTGGCCCCACCCACAATGGGCCCTCCCCATCAATCACTAATTAAGGAAATGCCATCTAGTACTGGTGGCCCACACCTTTAATCTCAGCACTTAAGATTCAGAGGCAGGCAGATCTCTGAGTTCAAGGCCAGACAGGGCTACATGGAAAAACCCTGCCTGGAACACCACCACCACCAAAAAAAAAAAAAAAAAAAAGGCTAGGAAAGGAAAGAAAAAGAGAGAGAGAGAAGAAAGAAAATGCCTTACCTCCCAGTCTTTTGGAGGCATTTCTCTAACTGAGCCTCCCATGCCTTAGATGACTTTAGCTTGTGTCAATATGACATAAAACAAGCTGGGACAGAGACAGGCTAAGGAGTTATCTTTTATCCTGGGTAGCTTTATATGTGGCTGTGAAATAGAATGGCTGTTAGTAGTCTTTACTGTGACCTTAATGGCTCCAACTCTGGATCCTCTGGCCACCTCTGCCTCAGCCACCTATGTGCTAGGATTACAGGCCTGAGTCACCACTCCAGACTGTGTGTGTGTGTGTGTGTGTGTGTGTGTGTGTATGTTAGAACCTTAAAAACATATACGTATATTTAAAGTAAGCAGAGGCCCAAGAAAACTTTTGTATTTTGTATTTTCAATACAGAGAGAGACAGAGACAGAGAGAATTTTATTATTGTCACTTATCTGGACAAGACGATAAGTTCATTGTGATATTTTCACATGTTTATAATGCACTTCAATCATACTGATTTCTTCCACACTTCTGTGTCTCCCTCCCTCATGTAGTTCCTCCCTGACACTGTAGGGCCTGGAGGGGCTGGGGGGCTTGTTCAAATTAGAATCCACACAGGTTCATATGCTGGGCTTAATTACTGGATAGGCCTCTCTCTGTCTCTCTGTCTCTCTGCCTCTCTCTCTGTCTCTCTGTCTCTGTCTCTCTCTCTCTCTCTCTCTCTCTCCTCCCTCCCCTCTTTCTCTTCTTTCTCCCCAACACCTCCCCCCAACTCTGAAACAGGGTCTCACTTTGTGGCTCAGGCTGAATTCTGTGTACCACCATGCCTTGATTTTTCCTGCTCTAGAACTTGTAGGGGCTAGAGCAGTGGCTCAGTGGTTAGGCATTCTTGCAAAGGACCTGAGTTTAGGTTCTAGCACCCACATCAGGTGGTTTATAACAGCCTGTAATCTCAGTTCTAAGGGATTCCATGTCTGCATCTGACCTCCATGGGCACTTGCATGTGTGTGCACATAGCTACACACAAACACATACAAATACACATAAATAATAAAAAATTAACATTTTAAAACTTATAAAATATATATAACATGAAGTTACCATTTGATCCGTTTATAGTGTACAGTTTATTGGCTTTAAGCCAGATCCCAACCACCCACTTCCAGAGCTTTCCTTCATCATCCCCAGTGGAATCTCTGCCTGGGTTTGCTTGTAAGGAAGGTGCCTGTATTGCTCGGTGTCAGGTCCAGAGGGAGCCAGCTCTGATGCCCGTCTTCCCCTCCCCTCTTCCCTGCAGGTGTGTCTTTATGCGGCTGGCCACCATCTGTGTACTGGTGTTCACGCTGGGATCCAAGATCACATCCTGTGGTGACAGCACGTGTGAACTCTGCGGCTATAACCAGAAACTCTACCCGGTGAGCCATGGCCTGGGCTCCCAGCTGTGAGGCAGATCTGGCCCCATGCCAGGCATGGTCAAGGGCTTAGATACTGAAGTCTGTGCAGGAGCATGTGGAACAGAGATGTAGGGATTGAGGATACAGAAGGCTGGCTCCCTGTGCTGGGAGTGGGTCTTTTAGTGTATTTCCATGTCTTGGTTTCAGTGCTGGGAGACGCAGGTGGGACAGGAAATGTACAAGCTGATGATCTTTGACTTCATCATCATCCTGGCTGTGACGCTGTTTGTGGATTTCCCTAGGAAGTAAGTGTGGTGGTCCCTGCTGCCTCCCGCTCTATGACGGGAAGCTCTTGACCCATTCCTGTTCCCAAGTGCTGGGTGACCCACCAACACTGGGGAACCATTCACATCTGGTGGCTCTCAATGGCTCTAGACTGCTGACACAGTAGCAGCATCAGCCACCACATCTTTAGGTGGTACCGTGCGACCCGGGGTGGAGATGGTGCCACTTCCCACAAGGCCTCCTGTGCTGACTTCCTGCACTTGATGCTGTCAAGGCCCTGCCAGGGCAGACACACTAGGTGCAGCTTCTGGATCGGGGTTCACACCATCTTCCTGCTGGACCGTGAACAAGTTGTAACAAGACACTGAGTTTCTTACCTGAGACAGGGAAGGATGATAGCAGGGTCACCTCATAGCCTTTCTGTGAGAATAAGGAAGATACCACAGATCGAAGCAAGGAGAACACCCCGGAGCACAGAGCTCAACAGAAAATGACCATCACCATTGCGCCCCTTACTGCTGTTGTCACTGTGTCCTTCCAGGAGTCTTAGATGAAATTGTCTTCCTACCACAGTCAAGGCACCTAGGGTGTGACAATGCAGGCCTGTCATTCTAGCACTTGGGAGGCTGAGGCAGGAACATCCTGAATTCTAGACCAGCCTGGGACATCTTAACCAGATCATTCAGATGTGGGCTAGAAGTCTAGAGAACCCTAAAGCTAGATACTAGAAAAAGAAATTTGAAGGCCAGCAAGATGTCTCTGAGGGTAAAGGCACTGGTCTTATACCCTCGCCACCTGAGGTTGCTCACTGGGACCACATGGTGGAAGTAGAGAATTGACTTCCACAAGTTGTCCTCTGACCTCTATACTGTGCTATTGAAAATTTGTACATACATACAGAGGTACTGTGGTGATGCACACCTTTAATCCCCCAGCACTCTGGAGGCAGAGGAGGCACATCTCTGTAAGTTCAAGGCTAGCCTAGTCTACCAAGTTCCAGAACAGTCAGAGCTGTTAACAAAGAGAAACCCTGTCTCAAAAACAAAATAAAACAAAACCCTAAGAACGAACATACATATATACATACATACATACATACATACACGCATGCATGCACATATACATATATACCTGCAAACACACATGAAATTAACATCTTTTAAAGAAATATTGGGCCAAGGAAATGACTCAGTCAGTACAGCACTGACCATACAAACATGAGGACCTGAAATCAGATCTCCAGTATCTAGGTAAAGCCTGGAGTGACAGCTTGTGCGGAGCCCAGCATTGAAGAGTTGGAGATGGTGGAGCTCCCTGGGGCTCAATGGCCAGCCACTCAGTCCCATCAGTAAACTTCCTGTTCAGTGAGATCCTGTCTCAAAAAATCAGGTGGAGCACGGCTCAGGGAGACACCTGATGTCAATCTCTGCCCTCTGCATGCATTCACACACCTGCACGCACAAGCATGTGTACACAGGCACACACACACACAAACACACACACACACACACACACACACACACACACACACGAACACACTCAAACACTCTCAAACTTGCCTTGGAAATGACTTTGGTTGTTGGGTGTGGCTTCGTAGCCTCAGGGCTCCTGTGGAGTCCCGCAAGAACGTGTCTAGTTTTTTTCCAGGCTCCTGGTGACCTACTGTGCCTCCTCTAAGCTGATCCAGTGCTGGGGGCAGCAGGAGTTCGCCATCCCGGACAATGTCCTGGGCATCGTGTATGGGCAGACCATCTGCTGGATTGGAGCCTTCTTCTCCCCACTCCTCCCTGCCATCGCCACCTTGAAATTTGTCATCATCTTTTATGTGAAGGAGGTGAGAAAAGGAGACAGGGCTCACACTCTGCACCAGGGCTCACACCAGTCTTTCTGTAGCTTTGTTTTTACAGTGCTGTGGACAGGAACCCAGCATGGCTTCATCAGGCTAGGCCAGTGGTATACCGTCTAGGGCACTTATGTGTTTAAAGGCCATTCTATACCTCATGAGACACATCATAATTACATGTCCCCCAACCCAAGGCTTTGTGAAATATCACTTTCTTAATATGAATTTATTCTGGAAAGGGACTTCAGATAAATTTTCACCTTTTTTGGTTTGTTTTTGTTTTTTGAGACACAGTCTTGCTGTATATCTTTGACTCGTCTCAAATTCCTGATCTTCCTGCCTCCACCTCCCAAGTGCTGAGGTTACAGGTGGTTTTTGTTTTGTTTTGTGTTAGAACACATTTCTCAAGCACATTTAGGAATTGCTTTGTTCCTAGGACTTAAATGTAATTTTTATAGATGACTGACAGTGAGTGTGAGCTGTCAGTCAAGCATGACTGACAGTG